TACCACCCAAACGTTTTTCATAAATGTCTGCAGAAAAAAAGCTGGTGTTAGTAATTGGTTGTAATAAGAAAAAACACCATAAGGACAACACAATTTATCCGATTATTATGAACAAAAGTAGTGTACAACACCTACAACTCTTATAAGGTCGGGTTTGGGTATGATAGTATAATATTGTCTTAGTATGTACATCAGTGTTACGTGCATTTTGACTGCCATGCTGCTGTTAAACAAGTTGTAAAATGTTAAATATCATGTCATTACAACAGCATCAGATGGTGTTACATATTTGGCACAATGTTCTCCAGTCAAATGTTGGTTTTTTTTAAGTCAATAAAAGTGAAGACCCTCATCTTACTTAGTTTTTGCAGTTATTAAAAGGGTCACATGTTTTGAACTTTTTTCCAGGAAAATACAAAAGATATGCAATAGAACAGACATAATAAAGAATTGTGTTTAAAGAACTAGATTTTATAAAGAAAAATGTTGGTAAAATTTTGTATAAATGCAAAATATCATCATTAAAAAGAGAACATTTTCTAAATGTTTCTTATAAAATAAAACATTTTTATTAAATTCTTTATAAGAGATTTTCTCTCCAAAGTGTTCTATTAAAAATTAGTTTCTCAAAAATTTTCTATAAAAAGAGAATTTTCTCAAAAATTTTCTTTAAAAAGAGAATTTTCTTAAAAAATTTATATAAAAAGAGAATTTTCTTTAAAAATTTCTATAAAAAGAGAATTTTCACAAAAAATTTCTACAAAATGATTTCCTCAAAAAATTTCTACAAAAAGAGAATTTCCTCAAAAAATTTCTATAAAGAGAGAATTTTCTCGAAAATTTTCCATAAAAAGAGAAGTTTTTCGAAAATTTGCTATAAAAAAGAGAATTTTCTCGAAAATTTTCTATAAAAAGAGAATTTTCTCGAAAATTTTCTACAAAAAGAGAATTTTCTCGAAAATTTTCCATAAAAAGAGAAGTTTTTCGAAAATTTGCTATAAAAAAGAGAATTTTCTCGAAAATTTTCTATAAAAAAGTGAATTTTCACGAAAATTTTATATAAAAAGTGAATTTTCTCAAAAATTTTATACAAAAAGAGAATTTTTTCCAAAATTTTCTATAAAAAAGAGAATTTTTTCCAAAATTTTCTATAAAAAAGAGAATTTTTTCCAAAATTTTCTATAAAAAAGAGAATTTTCTCGAAAATTTTCTATAAAGAAGAGAATTTTCTCGAAAATTTTCTATAAAGAAGAGAATTTTCTCGAAAATTTTCTATAAAGAAGAGAATTTTCTCGAAAATTTTCTATAAAGAAGAGAATTTTCTCGAAAATTTTCTATAGAGAAGAGAATTTTCTCGAAAATTTTCTATAGAGAAGAGAATTTTTTCGAAAATTTTCTATAGAGAAGAGAATTTTCTCGAAAATTTTCTATAGAGAGGAGAATTTTCTCGAAAATTTTCTATAGAGAAGAGAATTTTCTCGAAAATTTTTTATAGAGAAGAGAATTTTCTCGAAAGTTTTCTATAAGAAAGAGCATTTTCTCGAAAATTTTCTAAAAAAAAAGAGAATTTTCTCCAAAATTTTCCATAAAAAGAGAATTTTCTCGAAAATTTTCCATAAAAAGAAAATTTTCTCGAAAATTTTCCATAAAAAGAGAATTTTCTCGAAAATTTTCCATAAAAAGAGAATTTTATCGAAAATTTTCCATAAAAGAGAATTTTCTCGAAATTTTTCCACAAAAAGAGAATTTTCTCGAAAATTTTCCATAAAAAGAGAATTTTCTCGAAATTTTCTATAAAAAGAGAATTTTCTCGAAAATTTTCCATAAAAAGAGAATTTTCTCGAAAATTTTCCATAAAAAGAGAATTTTCTCGAAAATTTTCCATAAAAAGAGAATTTTCTATAAAAAAGAGAATTTTCTGGAAAACTGTCTATAAAAAGAGAATTTTCTAGAAAATTTTCTAAATAAAAGAGAATTTTCTCGAAAATTTTCTATAACAAGGAGAATTTTCTCGAAAATTTTCCATAAAAGAGAATTTTCTCAAAAAATTTCCATAAAAAGAGAATTTTTTCGAAAATATTCCATAGAAAGAGAATTTTCTATGAAAGGAGAATTTTCTCAAAAATTTTCTATAAAAAGAGAATTTTTTCTAAAATTTTCTATAAAAAGGGAATTTTCTCGAAATTTTTCTATAAAAAGAGAATTTTATCGAAAATTTTCTAGAAAAAGGAGAATTTTATCGAAAATTTTCTAGAAAAAGGAGAATTTTATCGAAAATTTTCTAGAAAAAGGAGAATTTTATCGAAAATTTTCTATAAAAAGGAGAATTTTATCGAAAATTTTCTATAAAAAAGTGAATTTTCACGAAAATTTTATATAAAAAGTGAATTTTCTCAAAAATTTTATACAAAAAGAGAATTTTTTCCAAAATTTTCTATAAAAAAGAGAATTTTTTCCAAAATTTTCTATAAAAAAGAGAATTTTTTCCAAAATTTTCTATAAAAAGAGAATTTTCTCGAAAATTTTCTATAAAGAAGAGAATTTTCTCGAAAATTTTCTATAAAGAAGAGAATTTTCTCGAAAATTTTCTATAAAGAAGAGAATTTTCTCGAAAATTTTCTATAAAGAAGAGAATTTTCTCGAAAATTTTCTATAGAGAAGAGAATTTTCTCGAAAATTTTCTATAGAGAAGAGAATTTTTTCGAAAATTTTCTATAGAGAAGAGAATTTTCTCGAAAATTTTCTATAGAGAGGAGAATTTTCTCGAAAATTTTCTATAGAGAAGAGAATTTTCTCGAAAATTTTTTATAGAGAAGAGAATTTTCTCGAAAGTTTTCTATAAGAAAGAGCATTTTCTCGAAAATTTTCTAAAAAAAAAAAGAGAATTTTCTCCAAAATTTTCCATTAAAAGAGAATTTTCTCGAAAATTTTCCATAAAAAGAAAATTTTCTCGAAAATTTTCCATAAAAAGAGAATTTTCTCGAAAATTTTCCATAAAAAGAGAATTTTATCGAAAATTTTCCATAAAAGAGAATTTTCTCGAAATTTTTCCACAAAAAGAGAATTTTCTCGAAAATTTTCCATAAAAAGAGAATTTTCTCGAAATTTTCTATAAAAAGAGAATTTTCTCGAAAATTTTCCATAAAAAGAGAATTTTCTCGAAAATTTTCCATAAAAAGAGAATTTTCTCGAAAATTTTCCATAAAAAGAGAATTTTCTCGAAAATTTTCCATAAAAAGAGAATTTTCTCGAAAATTTTCCATAAAAAGAGAATTTTCTATAAAAAAGAGAATTTTCTGGAAAACTGTCTATAAAAAGAGAATTTTCTAGAAAATTTTCTAAATAAAAGAGAATTTTCACGAAAATTTTCTATAACAAGGAGAATTTTCTCGAAAATTTTCCATAAAAGAGAATTTTCTCAAAAAATTTCCATAAAAGGAGAATTTTTTCGAAAATATTCCATAGAAAGAGAATTTTCTATGAAAGGAGAATTTTCTCAAAAATTTTCTATAAAAAGAGAATTTTTTCTAAAATTTTCTATAAAAAGGGAATTTTGTCGAAATTTTTCTATAAAAAGAGAATTTTATCGAAAATTTTCTAGAAAAAGGAGAATTTTATCGAAAATTTTCTAGAAAAAGGAGAATTTTATCGAAAATTTTCTATAAAAAGGAGAATTTTATCGAAAATTTTCTATAAAAAGGAGAATTTTATCGAAAATTTTCTATAAAAAGGAGAATTTTATCGAAAACTTTCTAGAAAAAGGAGAATTTTATCGAAAATTTTCTATAAAAAGGAGAATTTTCTCGAAAATTTTTTATAAAAAGCTGAATTTTGTCAAAAATTTTCTATAAAAGGAGAATTTTCTCAAAAATTTTCCATAAAATTAAATTTTTCTATAAAAAGAAGAATTTTCTCGAAAATTTTCTATAAAAAAGAAGAATTTCCTCGAAAATGTTCTATAAAAAGAAGAATTTTCTCGAAAATATTCTATAAAAAGAAGAATTTTCTCGAAAAATTTCTATAAAAAGAAAAATTTTCTCGAAAATTCTCTATAAAAAAGAGAATTTTCTATAAAAAGAGAATTTTCTCGAATATATAAAAAGGATAATTTTTTAGAAAATGTTCTATAAAAATGAAAATTCTCTAGAAAATTTTCTAAAAAAGAGATTTTTATTTGAAATTTTCTCGAAATTTTTCTATAAAAATATAACGAAAGAGAAAAGAGTTTTTGTTTTTTTTTTGATTTTCTATACCAAGAGAATTAATAGAAAAGTTTCTACATAAATGAATAAATTTGTTTTAGTTTACTGTCTGGTTGAACAAACATTTTGTTTAGAAAAAATGCTTGACATTAGGAAAATTAATGACTCCACATCAACAACATTAATAATGTTCATTTATTTTGTTGTTGTTTTGTAAACATTGTTTGACCAATTACATTTGAAAGTGTACTTTGTACTGAATATAGAGGTTGACCAGGTTTTGTATGTTTAATTTGTCACAAAAACCTATAACCACAAACAGAGTTAAATAAATACAAATACAACGACACCTTACACCTCTTTTTCTAAAACAGCCGCAAAATAATTATTGCAATAAATCCTTTGAGGCCTTTATTTATGTACAAATTTACAAATACTAAAAACCTAAATAAATATTCATACACAAGAAAAAAGTAACAGCTTCCGTTTCCATTATAAACCACAATTGAGACTATAATTATGAAATAATGTTGATAATAAAAAGAAATTAATCAATCAAGTATAAAATTAAGTGGGCGCCTAAAGGTCTCTCCCCTCTGAATTCAAGCGGAATTAAAATATGTAAATAAAAAATATTTTATTACCAATAAACTCTACCAAAATATTTCAGGTAATTGTAACTACAAACGTATGTATGTATTTATGTACAAATCCCCAAAACACTTTTGGCATTTAAAAACCAATTAAATGAAAAAATAAATAAAATATTTTCTATTGTTTGTCTCATGTTTTACTTACTTTATTCGATTGTAAACAAGTAATTCTGCAATATCACGTCCCAATCCTGAATACGTTGTCTCTACAAATACCAACACTTTCGGATCGATGCGTAAACGTGCCTCTGTACGATGATCAGGTGCTGGCGATGCATTTCTCGTGTGTTTCCCACTGCCCATGCGACAATTGATAATTGGTGTGGGTCTCGTATCACGTTGTATTAAACTGCAAAATATGGAAAATAATAAAAATATGTTTTTCTTTTTTATTAACTCTTAACTCCAAAATAGCAGAAAAAATATGAAAGAACAGGAAATAAACGAGAGTAATAAAATTGTTATAAAAAACAAAAATTATAAATTGGTTTATTATTGTTGCAGTTACAGCAATAAATTTGTATTATTTTCTATAAATGTTTTTTAAACGTTACAACGAATTTTGTTTGAAAATAATAAAAAAAATGTATTTAACTAAATATTTATTGTCATGTACCTTTTAGTAGTTTAGAAATTAGAAATTATTTGATGTGAGTTTTTATTAAAGTAATAAAATTTATTTGAATTTAAATGGACATTTTTTAATTTGTTATTTTTATTTGACATAAAGATTATTTTAAAATAAATTAAAGTTATTTAAACAGAAATTTAAAAAATATTCACAGGCAGCAACATAATTGTACTATCGACACCACTAGAGAATATTTTGCATTTGAAATGCATAAAAACCAGTCATAGTATTGACTATAGATCCATATTCTTTAATATAGACCAGTCTACAGTTTTGACAATAGATTGGTCTATAGTCTTGATCATAGACCAGTCCATATTCTGAGACCAGTACAAGCTCTTAAATATACATCAGTCTAGAGACACTACAGACAAGACAAGTATGTCTCTAGTCTTAAGTATAGATTATAGTCTTAACTATAGAAAACTTTGTAGTATAGACTATAGACTTGAATATAGACAAGCCTAGACATATACTGCCTTAATCATAAACATTTATCAAAGGTTTATAGAACAAATTTTGTAGGAAAATTTGATTTACAAACCTTTGATAAAAGTTTGTGAATAAGGCCCTTAGACTATAGTATTTACTGTAGACAATGCTAAAGTCTATAGTCAAGACTATAGTATATAATATAGACAAGCCTATAGTATAGACTATAGTCTTGACTACAGTCAAGTCTATAATATAGACTATAGTCTTGACTATAGACAAGTCTACAGTATAGACTATAGACAAGTCTATAGTATAGACTAAAGACAAGACTATAGTATAAACTAAAGACAAGACTATAGTATTGACTATAAACAAGCCTATAGTGTAAACTATAGTCTTGACTATAAACAAGCCTATAGTGTAAACTGTAATCTTGACTATAGACAAGTCTATAGTGTAAACTATAGTCTTGACTATAGACAAGTCTATAGTGTAAACTATAGTCTTGACTATAGACAAGTCTATAGTGTAAACTATAGTCTTGACTATAGACAAGTCTATAGTGTAAACTATAGTCTTGACTATAGACAAGTCTATAGTGTTAACTATAGTCTTGACTATAGACAAGTCTATAGTATAAACTATAGTCTTGACTATAGACAAGTCTATAGTGTAAACTATAGTCTTGACTATAGATAAGTTTATAGTGTAAACTATAGTCTTGACTATACAAAAGTCTATAGTGTAAACTATAGTCTTGACTATAGACAAGTCTATAGTGTAAACTATAGTCTTGACTAAAGACAAGTCTATAGTGTAAGCTATGGCGTTGACTATAGACAAGTCAATAGTCTAGACTATAGACAAGTCTATAGTATAGACTATAGTCTTGACTATGGACAAGTCTATAGTATAGACTATAGTCTTGACTATAGTCTATACTATAGACAAGTCTATAGTATAGACTATAGTCTTGACTATAGACAAGTCTATAGTATAGACTATAGTCTTGACTATAGACAAGTCTATACTATAGACTATAGTCTTGACTATAGACAAGTCTATAGTATAGACTATAGTCTTGACTATAGACAAGTCTATAGTATAGACTATAGTCTTGACTATAGACAAGTCTATAGTATAGACTATAGTCTTGACTATAGACAAGTCTATAGTATAGACTATAGTCTTGACTATAGACAAGTCTATAGTATAGACTATAGTCTTGACTATAGACAAGTCTATAGTATAGACTATAGTCTTGACTATAGACAAGTCTATAGTATAGACTATAGTCTTGACTATAGACAAGTCTATAGTATAGACTATAGTCTTGACTATAGACAAGTCTATAGTATAGACTATAGTCTTGACTATAGACAAGTCTATAGTATAGACTATAGTCTTGACTATAGACAAGTCTATAGTATAGACTATAGTCTTGACTATAGACAAGTCTATAGTATAGACTATAGTCTTGACTATAGACAAGTCCTATAGTATAGACTATAGTCTTGACTATAGACAAGTCTATAGTATAGACTATAGTCTTGACTATAGACAAGTCTATAGTATAGACTATAGTCTTGACTATAGACAAGTCTATAGTATAGACTATAGTCTTGACTATAGACAAGTCTATAGTATAGACTATAGTCTTGACTATAGACAAGTCTATAGTATAGACTATAGTCTTGACTATAGACAAGTCTATAGTATAGACTATAGTCTTGACTATAGACAAGTCTATAGTATAGACTATAGTCTTGACTATAGACAAGTCTATAGTATAGACTATAGTCTTGACTATAGACAAGTCTATAGTATAGACTATAGTCTTGACTATAGACAAGTCTATAGTATAGACTATAGTCTTGACTATAGACAAGTCTATAGTATAGACTATAGTCTTGACTATAGACAAGTCTATAGTATAGACTATAGTCTTGACTATAGACAAGTCTATAGTATAGACTATAGTCTTGACTATAGACAGTCTATAGTATAGACTATAGTCTTGACTATAGACAAGTCTATAGTATAGACTATAGTCTTGACTATAGACAAGTCTATAGTATAGACTATAGTCTTGACTATAGACAAGTCTATAGTATAGACTATAGTCTTGACTATAGACAAGTCTATAGTATAGACTATAGTCTTGACTATAGACAAGTCTATAGTATAGACTATAGTCTTGACTATAGACAAGTCTATAGTATAGACTATAGAATCTTGACTATAGACAAGTCTATAGTATAGACTATAGTCTTGACTATAGACAAGTCTATAGTATAGACTATAGTCTTGACTATAGACAAGTCTATAGTATAGACTATAGTCTTGACTATAGACAAGTCTATAGTATAGACTATAGTCTTGACTATAGACAGTCTATAGTATAGACTATATTCTTGACTATAGACAGATTAGTATAGACTATAGTCTGACTTAAGACAAGTCATATAGTAGATATAGTCTTGACTATAGACAAGTCTATAGTATAGTCTATAGTCTTGACTATAGACAAGCTATAGTATAGACATAGTCTGACTAAGAAGTCATAGTATAACTATAGTCTTGACTATAGGACAAGTCTATAGTATAGACTATAGTCTGGACTATAGACAGTCTATAGTATAGACTATAGTCTGACTATAGACAAGTCTATAGTATAACTATAGTCTTGACTATAGACAAGTCTATAGTATAGACTATAGTCTTGACTATAGACAAGTCTATAGTATAGACTATAGTCTTGACTATAGACAATTCTATGGTATAGACTATAGACTTAACTATAGACAATTCTATGGTATAGACTATAGTCTTAACTATAGACAATTCTATGGTATAGACTATAGTCTTGACTATAGACAATTCTATTGTATAGACTATAGTCTTGACTATAGACAAGTCTATAGTATAGACTATAGTCTTGACTATAGACAAGTCTATAGTATAGACTATAGTCTTGACTATAGACAAGTCTATAGTATAGACTATAGTCTTGACTATAGACAAGTCTATAGTATAGACTATAGTCTTGACTATAGACAGGTCTATAGTATAGACTATAGTCTTGACTATAGACAAGTCTATAGTATAGACTATAGTCTTGACTATAGACAAGTCTATAGTATAGACTATAGTCTTGACTATAGACAAGTCTATAGTATAGACTATAGTCTTGACTATAGACAAGTCTGTAGTATAGACTATAGTCTTGACTATAGACAAGTCTATAGTATAGACTATAGTCTTGACTATTGACAAGTCTATAGTATAGACTATAGTCTTGACTATAGACAAGTCTATAGTATAGACTATAGTCTTGACTATAGACAAGTCTATAGTATAGACTATAGTCTTGACTATAGACAAGTCTATAGTATAGACCACAGTCTTGACTATAGACAAGTCTATAGTATAGACTATAGTCTTGACTATAGACAAGTCTAAAGATAAAGCAATAGCTTGGTTCATAGACGAGACTTCAGACTTAAATAATCTTGACCCAGGTCTAGTGCCTTAATTATAGAATCAAAAGTATCGCTTGATTCACTGGGAAAATAATACTTGTATTTACTTTTCGATATCTTCCTGTGAGCTCTGAAAAAACATAAAACTTTTGTACACAGACTTCGTATTGTTAATCTTGTTTTTTTTTTTTTGTATTTTACATAATTGCAAATTAATCAACAAGCTTTTGTATTGTTTCTATTGTCTGTTTTTTGCATTTGGCTTTGTTGAAAAATATCCAAAAAACTGTTAGATAGAATGAAAAAAAAATGTAAAACAAACATTATTACTGTCATACAATTGAGGTCACATTATTTATATTTGTTCTCTATAGCGAATTGTATTAAACCAGCAGTTTTAGGAAAATACAATGCATTTGTAGTTAACAGTACTGTGCAGAAATGGTTTGCTACTGAAACTGAATTATCTCGCCAAAGTGTAAGCGTATCTGAGTCGAGACATCTCATCCCGAACTGCAGGGTTTATATCTAATTATGTGCGTGTGTGTTTGTGTGGTTGTTTGGTTTATTACTCTATTTATATTTAAATTTATTGTCAAATTTATCTTATTTATATTATAAACAATATAATGTAGTTAAATATGCTTGTTTACGATATTTTATTTTCACAAACATTAACCAAAACTATTAAACAGAAAAATTATGCATGTATGTGTACTATTCAGATTAACGAAGGTTTACAATTGTAACTTTTATAAAGGAATTAATGGGACGAATTCAAATCCCCAAGTAATTTTTGAA